TATGGGTGCGTTGTTTTTAGTAGATAGGTGGACAACTTGGTGATGACGCAACAATAATTTCAGCTCAGACCCCTCCATGTCGTGCCTTTCGGCTCGATGCTATAGATGAATGAGAAAGAACACTTTGTGTCCACTTTCTTCTCCTTCTTGCCCTCTTACTGTCGCCTCTGCCTAATAGTGAAGAGAATTGAATCAGTTAGTGGAATCAGTGTTAGGATCAGGGAATGCGATCAGTGAGAGGAAGCAGTGAGTCAGCGCAATTAGACAAGGTAACGCAAAAGTGTCCCGTGACAAGAGCTAATTGCGAACTTTGGCAATAGGAAAGAAGGCAGATGGGAGGGTGGGAAGGGGCAGGGTGTGTAGGAGGTGCCGTAGAAGCATCGAATGACAAAAAACCTCCCTACCAGCCCTATTCTTACGCCTCACCATCTCATCAATTTTTATGTCCACACGCACCCTCTTCATTCACCTCTTTGACAGTTGAGACGTGACAAGAGAATTGAGGAAAATTCATGTGACTGTGACTAGGTGTTTTATTCCCACAGTCAGCAAGTCTGACAAGAGTGGAGTTGACAGGAGGCTTATGAACTGTTAAATAACCAGGCTAGATTTTAATGCTGATTATTTGTACAAGCAAGTGGACTTTTCTGCCTCCTTGAAGTTCACTTCATAAGATACGCGAGAATTTGGAAAGGTGACAACATAAAATGTCATTTTACGACTTTTTAATGACCTATTACGAATGTCTTCCAGCTTTTGACGCTCCAGCTCCATATTTGGAGGTAATCAGATTTTCCCCCTCCGGGACCTCACAGTTAGCAAATACTACTGCCAAATTTGATCACATCCCTCCCTAAGCCGAAGCCATTCTCGTAAGACTGCCTCGGAGAGGGGTATCAATACCCCAAGTCAATCAGTGCCAACGGGCCAGTTGGTTATAAGTACTAGGTGTTTACATTGATTGTGACCTCCACCGTGACCTCGCCATCATCTGAAAAGCAACTTTTGCTACCCCCCTCTTATTCAATGCATAAAGTTCACTCTAAGGCGGGAGTGTATTTGTTTTTCCCTTTCTACATCGGGTTTCAGACAGTCTGACCGGGAGGAATGGCCAGGGGTAAACATCTTGTATTGCATAACAAAAGGAGTGTTGTAAGTAAACGGGGGGAGAGGGAGGGGAGTCAGCATTTGTCTGTGCCCAGCCAGGAGGTTTGTGTAATCTTACCGCTGTGCCATCCAAACAGTCTATTTAAACAAGCAGGCATTACGAACACACGCATAAAAAGTTCAAATATCACTACACTGCATAGTCCTCCCAAATTGCCAATTACCACCTAAACTGTGGTATTCCCCTTGTTTCTTCTCTTCTACCTTCCGTTTCAGGCTGTTGGATGGGGAGGATTGGCCAGATGAGACATCTTAGGGGAGTTTTATGGATGGGTGGAGGGTCAGGTGGGATGAGATTTAGCGTTTTCCCTTTCCTTGAAAGTCACTTGTGCAAACTAACCGTTGTGCCATCCAAACGTTCTATTTAAACAAGCAAATATTGCGAAAGCTCACACACACACACACACACACACACACACACCGAAGTAAAAATGTTACTGCATTGAATAGCCCCTCCAAAGCACCACAAACATGAACTGGCAGCCATAATTTTTCCCCTCGCTTGCATAAAAGTACACTACTGTATGAAAAATGGTTTGGGTACAAAAAGAATAAATTATCGTAGGCCAGGAAACGCTTATTTTCTATGCAGATTTGAGTGTGCACGTCCTTTCTATTCATATGGTAAAAGTTGTGCCTACGCAAAAAGTTTTTTTACTCAACTATTATCTCTTTTTTCGTCACAAATGTTTCCTGTTTTATTATTCATGTGAAATTTTAAGAAGTTTGAAAAGTTTTGCAATGGGGAATACTCTTCTATAGTGAAAAAAATTGACGAAGAATAAGGAGCAGCACGCTCTTAGACCCAGCCGATTAAAACAAAACGGTGAAATAACAATACTTGAGTAAATATGACTTGCGTTCGAATGTAGGTAAAGCATATTCTTCTTTGACGTAGATAATGGAGCAATTCCTCGACCCCTGCCATAATACTGGGGGAGAGGACGCAGTACCGACGTATAGAGGGGTTGAGAGACTACCGGTATGACTCAGAGGCAAGGCCGTCCCAGAGGAGGTACGAGTCGTAGAAGCTTAAGTGTCCGCGCAACCGAACGGAAGAGTTAAACAAATGATTTTGTAGCCCCTTTCGCCCTTTGAGCGTCACACCCTGCGTGCTCCCTACGGTCACCCTCCCGCGTCGGCCATCACAAAGTAGGTGGTGCTGTAAGATAACACCCCACAAACCAGTTGCCCCAGTTGTCAAGTGTCCTTGCAACTGAGACGATATTTGACCCTAACACTACTAAGTCCCCTAATCCCTCCATTGGGTCTAGAGTTTCTTCCTGTTCGGGAGCTGTATTGGGGAAGGGCGGGGGAAGGATGTGCTGTCCCCCTTACCGGTGGTGACAGGATGAGGCTAAACATCGAGGCCATCTCGTATCCCCGTTTCAAGTCTTAAGAACGGTGGTCAAGTTAGTTTTGTGGGAATAGGGTTTAGCATCTGTTCCTCCCTGCCAATTTGCCCGCATTTCAGCTCTCCCTAGCCATGTATCCCTAGGTTCTGACCAGTTGGTAGAGGGGTGAAGGAGGTGTCGGGCACCGTAGACAGCTTCGTAAGGAACTTTTTTAGCTGGTTCTCCTCCGGTAAAGTAAACAAACCACCCTGAGCTGTTCAGCAATCAACCCAAGCGTTTGGCATGGAGTTGTCATCTTGTTGACGTGACTTTGACTTTTGGCATACCACATGAAATGAACCGGCGGTGGCAATTTGCGCGCTTTTTCCTTCGCCCCTCCCCCATGTTTTGCAAGACTTCTTTATCACCTTGCCCTTTCAGTCTGCCATTTCTCAGCTCATAGTTGGACGTTTGAAGTAATGACTAGAAAAGTTCCCACCCTCCATATCATCCTTTTGCAGGCGGAAATACCTCCATTGTCCATTCACTTTGTCCCAGAACACCAACTCCATTAAGATTAATCGGAAGAGATAGCGGCAGGGAGAAGGAATTGTTGCAACAGAGGAGAAAGGAAATTCTTTTTCTCTCACTTCCTCTTTCCAGATCGCACACTGTTTAAAGGCAAGGCGATGTTTAAAAACAAAGAAGACTGTTTTCCATTTTGTTGCTACATATTTTGGTGGTTGTTACGATTCCAATCCAAAGGCTAATGTTGGGATGTCAACAATTTTACGTACTACTTGATTTTTTGTTACTTATTTTCTTTTTCAATGCAAAAAAGTGAGGGGCGAATTAAAAGGAGGTAGGAGGAAACAACAGCCGTGGAAGGGAAGACAACAATGCCAGCTTGGAAAAACTACAGCCCTTCCTTTGTCTCGATCTTCTGTTATTATACACACCCTTCGTCGAGGCAAAATAATAAGGAAGTGGAGGAAAATGGTCTAGTGCAGTGATTTTTCATCGCTTGTTTAACTACACGCAGTATACGAAGAGGCCATTTTGAACTCCGCGTGGTATGCTTCCTCTTAAGGCATAGACTTAGGTACGTGCTAAAGGATGGCTGGAAGATGAATGAATAAATTGATGCATACGGAATA